GTGCCTGTATAGCGAAGAATCCATCCCTAAGCACAGCAGGGAGCCATTTTGAGCACCCATTGGCCATTTTAAAAACCTGACAATCAGCTGTTTTGATCGTTGTAATGTGAAGAATCGCTTCCCGAAGCAGGGAACCGATCTTCACAAAGCGAAAAACCCATTTAGACAATCGTATTGCGATTGCAATCGCAAAAACATCGTCATGAAGCAGATTCCTTGTAATGTGGGGTAATCGTTAAGTGGGGCACGACTATATGTATACATACATACATACATACATACATACATACATACATACATACATACATACATACATACATACATACATGTAAATAAAGAGGAATGTTCATTTTTTTATTTTTCATTTATTTTTCATTTTCAGTTTGCTACTGTAGTACAAGTGCATGAATAAACATAACCAAGCCTTTACTGAGCAAATAGTCAAATTTGGTGAAGCGAGATTGCTGTGGCCTTCGGCAGGGTGATGGCCATTTGGACAGGAATTAAGTCCCATGTGGAACCTCAGTCATAGATTCTCTTCCAGATAGACTACAGAAGAGCAATGCCTCAGAAGCCCTAAAGGGCAGTGATGGGGGAAGGGTCTGCTTTGCTAAAAGAGAGCCCAAACTCTGTTTTTTCATGTATGTCTCTTGCAGAAGTGACACCCCTTTTTGGTATCCATGGCAGTAATCCCTTTCATGCCTGAGCTGCTTTTTTGTCTCCTGATCTCAGTGGCATCAAATTTTGATTTTTGACTTTTGTGCTATTGTATTGTGCTTCCACCATTCTGCATCGCCTTCCCCTCCCCATCTCAAGGAAATTAACTTTTTTCATTTCCAATCTTTTTCTCTCTCTCCTTACTCAAATTACAGTACTTACGTGGCTAAAGATGTGTGCCCCAGTTCTTTGGAAACTAAGTGGCCTGCTCTCACCTGTACTTACCATGCAAAGGCATATGGGACATCTACTCGGTTTCCTCTCTTCTTTTAGGGGGACGGAAGGAATCGGATGAGCAGTGCACTCCTCTTGCATGCAGACACCTTCCCCTTCCCCAGATGTGTCACTAAAATTTTGTCTTGGTGGGGTCTGTATTACATAATGACAAAAACTTACTTGCAGATTGCTTTCAGTGGTAACGTGAAAATTAATTTGGCTTGTATCATTTCGACTAGCTTTAAAGTTTTTTTTTAAAAGAGAGACAGATGCATGGAAGATTGATCCATCAACAGCTATTTGCCATGACAGTAATGAAAATAATCTGGTATTATATAATTAAATGCCAGGATATACTTGGAGAGGAGGTTCCTTATGAAGAAGGAAAAAAAAAGATGGTCATTCTAGAGCACTGGTTTCCAATCTTTGGGTTCCCAGACGTTCTTCTGCTAAAACTCCCAGAATCATTCACCCCACTGCCTGTGCTGGCCATGATTTCTGGGAAATGCAGACCAAGAAGATCTGGGGACTCGCGGTTGGGAGGCACTGCTTAAAACTTTGAAAAATCCCCTTGTTTGGATTTTTTTTTTTTTTTTTTTTTTTTGGCCATTGGCTGTTCTGGGAGTTGTTGTCCAAAAAAACAACATCCCCAAACTCTAGCTCACCTCCTTTATAGCCTGTTTCTGAACTTTCTGATATATCTGGCTGCTAATCAAAGAAATTGGTGACCTTCACTGACCTTGGTCAGATGGATTAGTGCAATTCATAACACCCTTATTTGCTAGCTTAGGTGGCCTTTAGTTTTTGTTCACAAGTGGTTCAAACAAAACTCTTTTTCTTCCCACACCTTGCAAAATAAAAAGAGGCCCAGAGTTCTTTAAGATTTTCTGCAGCTGGTGCCTGGCATCCAGCCATTTCTTAAACACTGGAGGATGGAGAGAGTAGAATTCTTTTTTTCAAGCCAGCAAAGGAAAAAAAACTTAACAGATGAGTAATGACGCTGGTGAGTGCAAGATCAAGTTTCAGCAGGCTGTCTGTTTTCACCATTCCCACAGCATTCATGGGACTGAGAAAAGGAAGGGAAAAGCCTTAGAAGGAGCCCAAAATTCATTCATTGAACACATGTTTGAAGGTGCACAAAAGGCAGGCTGTGAGAAGGTAGAACACAGAGTAGCAGAATGCTTCTGCTGCATAAAATGGGGTCTGCAATCATGAGAATATTTGCTTTTTAAACAGTCGTAACTTTCTAGGACTCATGGGAGCAGAGATATGTTCTGGAGGAGGGTGTGGGACTCAAAGCTCAGAGTTCCTAGATGTGGATTTGCTTCTACAGCCTGCACATGTTCCTGTCCCATCCCACTTCTTACTGCCTTTCCCCACCTTACTCTTCTTTCCTCTCTCTAAAGTTTAAAACTAAATATACTGTGTAATAGATAATTTAGGTTTACTTAGCCTTAAACAACATGAATATAATTTATATAGGTGTGTAAAATATTTTTAACCTGCCTTTCTCTTTAAAAAGGACCCAAGGCAGCTTACAACAATTAAAAGACAATATTTAAGCTAATAACCGTGAATATACAATATTAAAAGGATCAATGAAAACAATAGCAAAAACCGCAAGCAACACCAAAACACATTCAATGCAGAAAGGTACAACAATCCGTTTTTACCTGCCTGCCTACTGATACTGTTGCATTTTTCTCTATTTTTGAACAGTTCTTGAAGATCTTCCTTGTGCAATGTATTTTGGTAGCAGAGATTAGTTGTTACCAAAGTGTTAATAACAGTGGTTTGGCTATCTTTGTTGAGAAGATATACAGACATACTGGCCAAAATCATGTTGCTTAACATAGTAAGTCACAAGTAGAACCATTTGGTAAGTCAGCCTACTTTACTTACTATGCTGAGGAACAGGATTTCAGCCGTTGTATCTTGTGCAATGTATTTTGGTAGCAGAGATTAGTTGTTACCAAAGTGTTAATAACAGTGGTTTGGCTATCTTTGTTGAGAAGATATACAGACATACTGGCCAAAATCATGTTGCTTAACATAGTAAGTCACAAGTAGAACCATTTGGTAAGTCAGCCTACTTTACTTACTATGCTAAGGAACAGGATTTCAGCCATTGTACGTTTCATTGCTTATACACATTAATGATTATGGCATGAGTCATCCTTAACGAGTTCAGCACCTTCCAGATGTGTTGGCCATGTTGGCTGAGAATAGCAGAGTTGTAGTTCAACACCTCTGAAGAGAGCCAAGTTGGGGAAAGCTAATGTAAGTTTTGCAAAGCATTGAATAGATTCTGCACTAAATTTGGCACTTAGAGGGCTGATTCTCACAGAAGGGTCTGGCAGAGATTCAGTAGGCATATAAAGCTGCCCTCCTGGACCACCTAGCAAACAATTGTGTATTCTTAACTAGAGGCACCTATCTAAAATATTTCAATGAAGTACTGAGTATAGTTAGTGGTCTTTGGGAGTTCAGAACATAACATGGGGCATAGTTCTAAAAATAGAATCTAAGTTTTCCTTAGCAAGTTCTAACTCTTGACTATTAGAGGAAATATTGCACAGTTTGTTGTATCAGAGGCAACCATCAACAACTTTAGCTGGTTTGAAGGTCTGATTGGTTCTGTTCATGGGGGATTTTTTTTTTAAATTTAGAGGAATAATGTGTTTGAGTAGCAGTGCATGAACAGTATCATGCTGCTGAGCAGGTAGCATGACCAGATTAGAACTGGAAAGCCATCAGAATGAGGGTGGCTTGAGAAGTGACATCACTGGTCACTGCTTGGTCCAATTAGAAATGTGCTTTACCATAAGGGGAAGGGACCGTCTCACCCCCTGTCCTAATTCAGCTCTCAGTGGTCTAAATCCAGCCCATAAAGAACCTGGGGGGTACTGCTCTTCAAAGTCCTTTTTTCTCCTGTGCTCTACCCTGTAGAGTCGTAGACATCTCACCTTTAAATCAGGAAAAACATTAAAAGGGAATCTTAGTGTTATCTCATATTGGAGATCCACTGCCCTCCCCTGGCTCATTTCCTCCATTGGAACTCTTTGC